GCCCTCTTATAAAACCATCTCTTTTTTCTTGAGAATAATTTTGCTTGCTGCTTCTGTTACCTGTTTAACTTTTCTTTCAATTGATTGTCCATGACAAGGCCAATTTGGAACAATCATAGGCTGAAATATTATCTGTTTTACTTCTGTTGCCAGATCAAAAGTAAGATTAGGCTCATATGATATATTCCAGTCAATTAGCTGTATAAGCATTGTTGCATCAGGTTTTATTTCTGGAGTTATTCTACCTTTCACATTTTTATCACCAGTTTGAATTCTTTCATCACTCTGATTTTCACTATAATTCCTTTACATTCTCTGAGCAGAGCATGGTCTGTATGATGCACTCAGAGAAAGCATACCACACTGAACATCAACTGTTGGTATAAAAATTTCTACTACTTCACTTGATTGATGTTTCAAAAGGCTAAGCTGGTAAAGAATATGTCTCGGTCCTTCAGTAAACCTGTGCTCGACTTTAATTTTAAACCACATAGGCATGTAAACTCTAACAATGAACTCAATTATTAATTTAAAGTTTTTTAAATTTTTGTCTTCCAACTCATGTCTTGAGACTCAAACTCTGCAAAGTCTGTTGGCTGTTGTCAACCATGATTAATTGTCCCAATTTCAAGTAAAGCCAAGTCTGCAAGTATATTTCCACTTCTAATAGCAGAGACTATTCTATACCCATATAACTGATGGGAGGATAATTTTTTGATTACTTCATCCTTTAGAGTAATAAGCGGATTTCTTAGCAATTTTTCAAAGGATGGATTAATTTCTAGAGCAGTTGTGTCATTTATTAATTTTCCAATGCTGCCTCTCTATTTGATGCTGCTCTAAGCCTCTCCATCAAGAGTTGTTATCAGATGACGCAGAGGAAGTTCATTAGTATGGAGTACGCAATCCAGCCAGTTTAGCTTTCTTCCTAACTTTACTTCGATCCAAAGAATTGCTCCACCTGACCACCCTGTGTTAACACTAATAGAATCACCACCGATTGCTGTTAAACTTTTATCAGCACCATTACTTTTCAAAAATTTGTGTATATTCTGAGTAATTACTTTAGCGTGTTTTATATGTTTTTAAACTTTTTCAGGTGTGAAATGGAAAAGATACCTACCACCAGGCTCTTGACATACTTTATAATGTTCCTCTTTGATTATAGCAGGATAACAATTAGATGAACCTTTGACTACTAATTGAACTTTTGTATTATTAATTCTGCCATCAAAAAAAACACAAGCAATAATGGTAGACCTGCATTGAGTATCAAACTCTCTAGAAAGAGACTGCATAAATTTTTCTTGACTTTGCTGTGGTCAATAACCAACTTGGTATCATCTTCTTTAACTGTTCCTGTGTCCACCCAAGCTGGAGTTGCAAATTGCAGCTGTTTCCCGTAAGTCTGTACCATACCATATGCTTGCTAACACTATGTTGGAAATACTTTCATAATTCCTTTGCCCTCGTAAACGTCCCTGATCTTCATTCTGTCGATACATTAGATGGAGCTCAGTATTGCTGTTTGTTGTAAAACATTAATTACTAAATAGTTCATCTGTTTTGCTAAACTCAAGTTCAAACTTTTCTTTCTGACTTTAAATCGTTTGTTGCAGTTCTTCAGACACTTTTTGCTTTAGCTATGTATAAATTAATTGAATTTTCATCAATTGATGTTTTGTAAAATATTGTAAGTACAAATAGCTTTATGAATTTATTTTTTATTTGTTATTTCCTAATATAAGTAAAATATAGTCGTATGCAAAAACTTCATTTTAATTAGATTTTGTTATTATTAAGTTGAAACAGGCATATATCATTTGTAATATAACTAAAATTAATTTAACTTTGGAGTTTAATTAATTTTTCTTTATTAACTAATTACCAAAGAAAGAATAAGTTTTTCTACTTGGGCAAAGAGCTAAAATAGGGACTACTGTTACACATCAAATTGGATTAGCAGATTTAAGATAGCTGACTTAAAAAAAAAGCTACATAAAATTGGAGAAAAAAGATTAAACGAAGAAGTAAGATTTTTTTAATTAGTTATGTTTTTAATTAGAGTCTTCTTTTGCACATGCAATTAATGTGGGTTTTATTATTTTCTGATAAACCGTTTTTCTCTTGACAAGTAATAATTTGGCAATGACAATTCAGTATATCAAATAATTTGTCAAGTTTAGCCATAAATCTATCTTTTAATTTTGCTTTTCCCCTAGCAATTAGGTTTTAAGTTTGCTTTTCCCCTAGCAACCAGATTGGCAGCATTTAAATCATCCACCTATCTCGCAGTAATATAATGTCCGATATCTGTTACAGGATATCCAAATATAGCATGTGTGGATCCATTTACCAATCAACTTTGAGTAAACATTGTTTCATTAAGTATTTTATCGGATAATTTCTTTTGTTTGTATTGGTTTTTTTAAGGAAATCTCTTAGCATTGGTAACTCTAATATAAGAAATCTGTTCCAGAACTTATATATTCCGAAAGCATTGATCCGCTCCTTTTTCTAGTTCTTGATGATATTGACTCTGTCATGATTAAACAGCAAATTTCATAATTTGCAAAACTTTTACATAAATGTGTTTTTTTTTAATAATACTTTTTGACATTTAATAACATCAAAAGTATTAGTTTAACAATTAAAAATTGGCAACTTTTTATAGTTTTTGATATTGTAAAACAGTTTCTGTGGTTAGTGTCAAAGCTAATTAAGAAAAATTTACCAAAATATCAATTTAAAAACTCTTTCTTTGGAATCTTTTTCTTCTTTTCGCACGTACAGTTAATATGAGCTTCAAAACAATTTTTCCCTTGACAAGTAATATTTTAGCAATTATAATGAAGTATATCAAACCATTAGTCAAGTTTTGCCAAAAATCTTTATTCTTTAAGCTTGCTTTTCCCCTAGCAACCAGGTAGGCTGCATTCCATTCATTCACCAATGTTGTAGTAATATAATGTTCAATATGTGTTGTAGGATATACAAATAAAGCATTAGCGTGGATCCATTTACCAATCAACTTTGAGTAAACATCGTTCATTAGTGATTTTATCAAATAATTTCTTTTGTTTCTATTGTTTCTTTCTTGCAAAAACAGATCATATCTAAGAAGATCTCTTAGCATTGGTAACTCTGATAAAAGAATATCTGTTCCAGAAGCTCTATATTCCGAAAGCTTTAATCTGCTTCTTTTTCTAGTTCTTGAGGATATTGACTCTGCCATGATTAAATAGCAAAGTTCATAATTTGCAAACTTTTTGCATAAATTTTTTAATTTTTTAAATATTTTTTAACATTTAACATACAAATTATATGTACGACAATTTATAAATTGGCAACTTTATATAGTTTACTCTGCATCCCTGATCATTAGTCAAGAGAATTCCAAAGAGTTGAAATAAAAATAATTTTGTTTACTGGTAACACTACAAAGCCAATTTTAATGGTTAATTGTGCTATAGCTATTTTGTGGTACTACATTGCTTTTATGATTGTCATCAACAATAACAACTTTAGTTGTGCTCATAATAATTTGTTGAGTCTTTAACTTTTTTTTAACACGTTGTCTTGGAAACACTGTATACCTGTCTTTTTAATGAAGGCTTATTAATAAAGGGGAGCATTATCGGAAGATTCTGTTATTAATAAGCTCTTATGTATTTCTTCCATAATTGTTTGTAACCATGCACAAGAAATGTTTTACAAGTTGCTTACTTATTCATGATTTATGAATCCCAGTTGTTCTTACAGATTTTTTTAAAATAGAATCTAAATTTTTATGAGAATAATAATAACTTATAATTGCTGAAAGACTTGTCGCATTAGATTATAATAATCAAAATTTAATCCACTCAATAATATAGTTAGTACTGTGTAGAGCTAGGCGTTAAACTACTAAATATAACTTGCAGTAGGCTGCTATTAGCCTAATATTTTCATTTTCTTATTATTACTTATTTTCTATAAGTAAATTAAAAATATCTAAAGCCTTTGTAATTTAAAATAGTGTCAGGTTGCACTTGGCTTTCTTTTTTAGAAAGAAGAACTATAGGTATTTTTTTTTTTTATTTTTTATTTTTTTATTTTAATTCACCTCCTCAAGGCCGAGAAGGCCACTACAGACTAAGAGGCTACTTATTTGTGGCTATAACCCTCTCCCAACTCTATAACTCCGAAACACGAACCTTGATGAACAAGGCTGCTGCGCAGAGAAACGAGTTGAGCGCGGTACTACCAGGGACGTGGTGAGGATCGAACTCCGAACCACTCGTTTATGAAGCAAGCGCTCTACCACTACACCACTACTGCATAAATTGTTGAAACATGCAAACTGCTGTGGTCAAGTTGTATAACATTTTTTTTTCAATAGTAAACAAATAATGCATGCAACCGTACGCTTTCTGTAACAACCTGATATATATTCATATAGTTTGACATCAAAACTTACCATTTGTGGTAAAAAAGGACTGTTAACAACTCTTTTGAAGATGACAAAATTAAGTACACTTTATGTTAAAACGATTAAATTTAATTGAGGAAACTGATTTAATTTTTTGTTTTTGGAAAAATAACAAAAAAACGGAAAAAAGCAGACTAGAATGTTTTTAAAAACAATTAGAATGTTTTTAAAAACAATGTTTTTATTTTTTTACTGTTTACATAGACTGACTGACAAATAAGTAAAACATGCAAAGAATGCTGCTACATCAACTGACAAATAGGTAAACATGCAGAGTGCTGCTAAATTGACTGACAAATAGGTAGAACATTCTAGGAGTGCTACTATATCGACTGAGGGTTTTGGTTAAGGCAGGCAATCTATCAATTAAAAAAAAACTTTTTAAACTTTTTAAACTTTTTCCAGTCTTCTAAATCATTATTTTTTTATTTTTTTAAAAAAAATAAAGGTAACATTTTAAAGTAAAAATTAAAGATGACCAAGCAAAACCGACAAAAGATAAAACAAAAACTATAATAATTAAACATACTTGTTCTTGTTCAGCTTTCATAACAAGCAGTTCATATATAATACCTGCAATAATAAAACTTTTATTAGAAAGTTTCAATAAAGTATTTTAAAACATATCCTTTAAATATTTTACAAATATTCTATACAATCATATAAATACCATATAAATATTCTACATTGGATTAAACAAAGAACTTAAACAATTACATTTCAGCAATGTTCGTAAAATATACTAAAACAAAGGAAGAAAACGATTGTGTTGACTTGTTAGAATTTTTTCATATTTTGTTTTATATTGTTTTTTTTATATTTCTTATTGTTGAATAACAAATAAAATAAGACTAATAAATAAAAAAATAACATAAAAAAACTCTCAAAACATTTTGTTTCAAAAAAAAATTGATTTTTAACACAAAACTATAGAAAAATAAATACCTAGAACTTTATTTCTAATATCAGTAAGAAAATCCTTTGATAATTTCTAATCAGAAAAAAAAAGATTAGGTTAAAAAAAAACTAATATAAAAAAAAACTATAACAAAATTTAATAAATTTAAAATACAAAACAAAATAAAATAATCAAAATCTTAAATATAATAGCGATTGGTTATCTGTAATGAACTAACAAATAGATGAAGGGTTACTTTTAAAAGATAAAGCTTATAAAAAATGCCATGAAATAGGAGGTTACAGACCAAAATTCCAATTTCATTGCATATGTACTTTACAGACAACCCATAAATGTTATATAATTTAATTAAAACCTCAATTATTTCAACAAATTGTTTATATATGTCTTTAATTTGATGTTGGTAAGCTAACAATATTAGCAACTTTATCTGTGACTCTTTGCTTCCATCTTTACATAGTTTTGTCTTTAAGCTCTCAATTTCATACTAAAAAAAATCAAAATCAAAATAACATTAAATCAGTAAATAGGTAATACTTATATCTTTATGATATGTAAATATCGTAAAAGATATATACAGTGTATTTTTTATGTGAATTAGGCAAAAAAAAAGTCTTATGAAAATTTCTATTCCAATAGACATTTTTTGTCTCAACGATAACAATTATATAACTTTCTTTTTTTGTCTCAACGATAACAATTATATAACTTTCTTTTTTTGTCTCAACGATAACAATTATATAACTTTCTTTTTTTGTCTCAACGATAACAATTATATAACTTTCTTTTTTTGTCTCAACGATAACAATTATATAACTTTCTTTTTTTGTCTCAACGATAACAATTATATAACTTTCTTTTTTTGTCTCAACGATAACAATTATATAACTTTCTTTTTTTGTCTCAACGATAACAAATATATAACTTTCTTTTTTTGTCTCAACGATAACAATTATATAACTTTCTTTTTTTGTCTCAACGATAACAATTATATAACTTTCTTTTTTTGTCTCAACGATAACAATTATATAACTTTCTTTTTTTGTCTCAACGATAACAATTATATAACTTTCTTTTTTTGTCTCAACGATAACAATTATATAACTTTCTTTTTTTGTCTCAACGATAACAATTATATAACTTTCTTTTTTTGTCTCAACGATAACAATTATATAACTTTTTATAAAATTTATATTAAAATATTATGAATGAAAAAAAAAAGAATAGATTTATAAATAATGAAAAATAAACTACCTCGTGAAAGTATTTTAACTTGGATTCCGGTAAAAGATCAGCAATCCACAAATGACGAAGAGAATCTAAATATTTATTTACAAAAATAAATATTGAGTTCAAATATTTATTTAAAGTCTAAATTTATATTTATTTGTAACATATTTAAAAATATAAGGATTCAAAAATATTGAATATTCAGTATATCTAAAACATCTAAACAATGTCATTCAAAAAGTATTGAACATTTTGTATACAAAAAAAATCATTTGATATAATTGTTTGATCATTTATCTATTTTACAAATTTGATCAGTTCATTATATCCCTATGTAGCTACAATATGTCAAGCCTTGTTTTAAAGCGTTATGCATAGAGCGACTTACATATGCTTTAAGCGATTTTACGTAAGCAGTAAGTAATGTTGGTTAAGCAACTCTTTATCATTTTTTAACTTCTAAATTTTTCTATAAGCGGTAAAATAAAAGAATTAATTCAAAAAAAGCTGCATTAGCTTTTGAATGAAAATTATGTAAAAACATTTGTTGAAAAAGTTTGAATGATAATTATGTTAGATATAAGCACTGTTGACTAATACTAATGAAAAAAACTCAAATAGAATTAAAAATTTATTTTTTAATTATTTGATTTTGTTTTTATTTTATTGTAATGATTGATTTTTTCACTTGAAAAACGCTTATACTTTCAGCTTGAAGCAAAGATCATACTA